AGACCAACATTCATCAACTGAGCTATTTGTTCAGCTCGCTACATTATCCAAAAGTTTGCTATTCTGCAAAATAAACCCTTTAAATTTTGACGATAGATGGTGTACGTAGCCTGTGCATTCCCTATATCAAAGCAAGGATTTATTTTATAGTTTCCAGCTAAGGGCAGTCCTAATGCTTCTTGAACTCTTATGCCGCATTACTGACAACCACCTCTGCTGGAAGACCTTCCCACGTGCCCTCAACCTTAAAATGTTATAAATCCTTATTGTCAAAACATCCTTCCAACATCAGGATATATCTTGTTCTTCTATTGGACCATCCTCTACAAAACATCACCTTAAAGGGACACGCCACTGCTCAAATAAAATAAATAAAATAGAAATCCCTATTTAGTGTATATGACCGCAATGAAAACATGCATGCATTTAATTATACACAATAAAACAGTTTAGGCGCTTGTTATAATTACAGTAAGTGGCAGTAGTGACTAATTGCCAAAACCCTGTGTGAAGATACAAAGCACTAAACAATATATGATACATCGTGCCAGGAAAATTAAGATATAATCAATAATTTAAAATTACTTTGTGGTATAGTTTATGGAAAAAATCAACATAAATATATGTACTTGATACGTACTTTTCCCCTCTGATGTTTTACAAATCAAATTATTATCCATTTGCAGTATAAAGTGTGTATATTTATGTAGAATTCTGCATACACCTTAGCACAAAGTCATTTGAAATTGCTGATTATATCTTGATTTTCCTATCATCTTTTGTTTAAAGCATTAAATTATTTATTTTTACATTGGGTCTGTACATAAAACAGCTTTTCTCTTGTCTGCAGCCTTTGCAGGCCCTCCCCTTCGAATTCCACCCAGACTTTCTGTTGCTGTCCAATCACAGACTTCCCAATGCAAATCAATGAGAAGTCTTTGCAAGGCAGGAACTCTGAGTAATTGTTGTCTCTTGAGTTTAGTTCCATTGACCAGTTGTCTGATTGACAACCAGGGTTGCCCATTGCTATTAAAATCTGTACTTTTTGTAAAATGAAAAAAAGAGGATGCATTCTTTCCACATAAAGCATTTCAGCAAACAAAAGTGCTTTAGGGGTCTGGAGTGCCCTATTAAGATAACGTGTCATCCCACCGCTTGTGTGCCATTGTTACTTTGTTTGTTTATCTTTGAGTACAAATAAGGACTGTGGAACGCAAGCCTCCGCCACGTCTAAGTCCGTAGAATGCACATCTGTAGACACAGGCATCGCGGAAGTGAAAACATGGATTGGACTGTGAGGTAGACGGCGAGATAGGCGGACTTTGTTTTGAATATTTTTATTGTATGCATAACATAGGTTCATACGTCAAACCGATTTGTAATAAAGCAAGTGATTGCCCACGCAGGGGCTTAAGCATTGGTTCAACACAGTATATACTTTTGGTTGCCTGCGCAGAGGCGGACTGTGTTGTCTTTTTAGTTCGGTGAGAGCGTTAAGTAAGTGTTTTGTGCTAACTGGTGTGTGCAAGTGCTGCGTGTTTGCTAGTTAGTGAATGCAAACTGTCGCCTGTGTGGAGGCAAATTAACCATCTTGCTAATTAGAGTCAGACTGAAAGCAATAATCTAAAATACAAAAACTTTTCCCAACTTTTAACATATGGGGCATATTTGTTTGTAGTCTGCAGTGCGTTAATATATAACAAAGCTATCTGGATATCAGGCTTACAGTAATTAGCTGCGGTCAGCTATTTAGTATGTATTAGTGGACATTATCAACCTTTGGTCCCTATGGGCATTATAGCATAAACTGTACATTCCTTTGGCATTTTAAACCTGCAAAATATGTAAAAGCTTAAAAAATGAATGCAACTTTTAAGACACAAATGCGAGCTATCAATCCACAGGGTGGCTCTGAATGCGTCAATCTGAAATAAGCTGTGGCTAGTCATGCAATATACGTAATGAAGTAGAAATAGCAGAGATGGAGGATTGATCGCCTCATACAGAGACCGGGCTGATCACCTCCAAGCCACCCCAAAACAGCGTCTCAAAAATAATAAACAATTTTATTGGGAAAAACCTTATTAAAATCAAAGAAGGAAAACACATCTATCTATAGATAAAATAAATAAAGCTCAATATATACAGAGTATGGCTGATATATATATGTATATATAGTATAGTGTGTCAAATACCTATAGGTAAGGTATAGTACATATATAAATACATAAGAACCATAGACTGTGCAATGCAAGCCCGATACAGAATATAGAATATGGCTAAAATATAGATATAATACTATAATAAGTACCTGTGCAAAAAAATAATAAAGAGTAGATACAATAGTAAATATGAAAAACCAAAAATTCTGCACTTAAAGAACTAATCGCTGCAGAGTATGGCTAACCATATCAGAATGTGGCAAAATCATTATGAAGTGAAACAGTGTAAGCCACAATAGTAGCCAAAGACTCTGCTGCTGTACCTACAGGGTTAAGTTTTGAATGGAAATCGAAAGGATAGAAGAGGGCATAAATAAAAGGAGAAAAATAAAGCAGAAAGACCTGATTATAGATCTACATACAGGAAAACTAGGTCTGAGTGCCTAATCCCGATAAACAGCCCACCTATCACTAAATATGAAAACCAGAGCTGCAAAAACGCTCAGTACCACTAAACCATACTGTTACAAAGAAAAAACAAAATACTTGATTAGCTAATTCATGTTTCGGTGGATTAACACCTTTTCAGACAAAGTAAAATACAACAGTAAACATGGCAGTCTGAGGGAGGCTCAACATGTCTCAGCTACGATGCAGTCCTCCGGTCACCGAGCTTCCGTCCGTTCACCCCACACCGCCCCCCGCCCACCAGACAGGTCCTCCGCGGCGCCGTGGGCACTCAGGGGCAGAGATTGTCCACTGGACCCCACCACAAAGTCCACAACTCTCCCGCCCCCTGCACCTCCCCAGTACCACGTTGTTCCCTATGGAGCAAGCACCCCCTTGTCTCTCCCAGTGCCGGTCTCACACTTAAAGCTGGTGCCCAACCCCCCCGGCCACCGGTCCGCCGGCAGGGCAGCGCACTCCCGCCCCACAGGGCTCACGACACCAGGGACATAATTCTCCGGGGACCTCCATACCCAGAGACTGGGGTACTCACTGCTCCAGTCGGCTTGTGGGCGGCGTGTAGGCCCCGTCCAGCGCTCAGTATGCATGAAATGCCAGCATTTTTCCGTGGTCCTCTGGGTGCGTTGAGCCGTGCCGGAGCAGTTCCATAAGAATGCAGGTGGTCTTTTTCATTTCAGCTCCTGGTCTGTCTCGCCAAGGCTGACGGATGACCATAGTTACATAGTTACATAGTTACATAGTTACATAGCTGAAAAGAGACTTGCGTCCATCAAGTTCAGCCTTCCTCAGAAATGTTGTTGCTGTTGATCCAAAAGAAGGCAAAAAACCTGGTCTGAAGCACTTCCAATTTTGCCACAAACTAGGAAAAATTCCTTCTGACCCCAAAATAGCAGTCAGATGTCTCCTTGGATCAATCAGCTATTACCCCACTAATTAGAAATTATATCCCTGTATGTTATGTTTTTGTAAGTATTTATCCAATTTCAGCTTAAACATCTGTATGGACTCTGACAAAACCACCTCTTCAGGCAGAGAATTCCATATCCTTATTGTTCTTACTGTAAAAAAACCTTTTCTTTGCCTTAGATTAAATCTCCTTTCTTCCAGCCTAAATGTGTGACCTTGTGTCCTATGTATAGCCTTGTTTATGAATAGATTTCCAGATAAAGGTTTGTACTGGCCCGAATATATTTGTATAAAGTTATCATATCCCCTCTCAGGCGCCGTTTTTCCAAACGAAACAGATTTAATTTTTGTAACCTTTCTTCATAACTAAAATGCTCCATTCCTTTTATCAATTTTGTAGCTCGTCTCTGGACCCTCTCCAGTGCCATGTTATCCTTCTTTAGAACAGGCGCCCAAAATTGCACAGCATATTCAAGGTGTGGTCTTACCAGCGATTTATAAAGAGGCAAAATTATATTTTCATCCCGAGAATTTATGCCCCTATTTATACATGACAAAATCTTACTGGCCTTAACAACTGCAGATTGACATTGCATATTGCTGCCTAATTTGTTGTCTATAACAATGCCCAAATCCTTCTCGTGTGTGGTTATCCCTAATTCACTACCATTTGGTGTGTAAGTTGCTTGTGCATTCTTAACCCCGAAGTGCATAACTTTGCATTTCTCTATGTTAAATTTCATCTGCCATTTTAGTGCCCAGTCCCCCAATCTATCCAAATCTCTCTGCAACAAAGCAATATCCTGCTCACATTTTATTTTTTTTGAAAATTTACCATTAATGACAACTCGTTGTACTCTGTCCTTAAGCCAATGTTCTACCCAAGAACAGGAATATTCATCTAGACCAATTTCTTTTAGTTTGAAAACTAACCTATTGTGAGGAACCGTATCAAATGCCTTGGCAAAGTCCAAGAAGATCACATCCACTGCAACACCCTGATCTATACTTCTACTTACTTCTTCGTAGAATGCAATTAGGTTAGTTTGACATGACCTATGTTTCATAAAACCATGCTGATTATTGCTAATAACAGTAAGTACAATAAGTTCTTCCCAATGAATTCCTGAATATTATCCCTTAATAGCCCTTCAAATATTTTCCCAGTTACTGAAGTTAAGCTCACAGGTCTATAATTTCCAGGCAAGGATTTTGAACCCTTTTTAAATATAGGAACAACATCTGCCTTCCTCCAATCCTCCGGTACAACACCTGAAACAAAAGAACCATCTTTCAGGGAGTGAGCAGCCTCCGTTCATTCGGGGTCTGTGTGTCTCCACACTCTAGCTCTCCTCTCCCTCCGTGTTAATGACAGTTTCTGCTGGCTTGCTGCTTCTCATGCAGCTTTTGCCAGTGTAGGCGGCCAGCGCACACCCCACGCGGGAATTCCCGCCGTGGCATAGGTCACCGCCATGCGGCCGGGATAACCCCCACCGGCCGGGGGGGGGGGGCAGGGCCGTGCCCCGGGCCGGGTGTGCAAAGGGAACCATCTGTGCAGCGTCTCTCCCGCTGAAATGTTTCGGGGCTGCGCCTCTCTGTGGCGTCCCGCCGCGTGGCGTTGTCTCGGCCGGATGCTCTGCCGCGTGTAGGCCGGTCTCGCCCTCCGTTGCCCGTCCAGCTTGTGGTGTGCTTCTTGCCGGCATCCGAGGTGCGCTGGGGTCGTTCCCTGTTAGTTGTTGTCGGGATAGCCGACTTCTTAGCAGTCTTTTGTGCCTTTTTGCTCAGGTTAATGCCGGAGCCCATGTATAGTGCGTCTGTTCGGCCCGGCGGCCCGGCCCCGCCCCCGATAGGCGGACTTTGGAAACCCCCATGGATTGTTAAATTATCATCAAGTAGCACTCTATACGGGCATGACATTTGAAGGGTAATTGTCACAAACATGTTGGGATATATTTGTTTTGTTTGTATTCTTGATTTTTGTTGTTGTTGTATTCTCCTATGGACCTTGGGAACTAACAAAGATCCCAGAAGATTCTAGGATTGTTCATCTGTTACCATTTATGCATGACAACATTAAAGGCACAATGTTTTAAAATAGTATACGATAATAGTGTTTCTCTTTCCATATTTAAAGGGACACTATAGTCACCAAAACAACTTTAGCTTAATTAAGCACTTTGGATGAATAAATCATGCCCCTGCAGTCTCACTGCTCAACTTTCTGCCATTTAGGAGTTAGATCACTTTTGTTCCTGTCCATGCAGCCCTAGATACACCTCCCTTGGTTGTGATTCACACAGCCTGCATGACAAAAATAGTTTTATTTTCATTTAGACATTAACTTACTCTGCAAGGTTTTATTTTGTAAACTTAACTTTTTTTTTTGTATTCAAATTTTTATTTGATTTTAAACAAGAAAAAATTTGCAAGTATCACAGTCTTAGCTCCAGAGAACTTTCTGATTATATTTCTATGACGGCTCGATGCAGTGCTGCAGTTTTTGATTGAACGTGTTATTCCAGCCTGGAATTGGACCCTTAATTTACAGATTGATAAGAGGTTAAGAACCTAAAAGCACAACCCAAAGTCCATATTTAGTTACCTGTTAAGCTGTGCTGAAATTTCAGCAACGACAGTTCCACTTGTTTCATGTGTCGCTGACACTGCACCCCGTGCACAATTTGTATTTCATGACATTGAAATAATTTGTTGTTTTTTTGCATGGTTTTGAAAAGCAGGAAGGCCATCTGCTCTCACTGCTGTGGGAGAAATAAAGTTTCTGAGAAATATGGGGAAATGGCAGTTTTAAAAAACACAGAAAATAAATAAATAAAATAGTTTTTTCTTTGCAACCTCCGGGTGGTATTTTTTGTGTGTGTGCGTATTCCTCATTTTCGGAGTGTGAGCTCTTCCTAGCACTGCTCTATTCTGGGCAGAGATCTCAGACGTCCCACCCACAATCTATCAAAACCCCAGCTTGGTAGTCATGGCCCTGAGTTCTCCAATCACAACCGGGACTATTATTGCCTTATCTCTCGCTTTCTTCATTTTAGATATAAAATCCACTGCAAAATATACACCTACAAACAATAATAAAGATTAAAAACAAGTAACTATGTTCTATGAGTGTGACTGATCCGGGAAATGGAAGTGACCCTTGAGTAATTCTATAAGTGAAGACTTGACTGTTTGGGTTCATAGCACACTATTATAATGTCAGCCAGTGAGTGCATTCTGAGTGCATGCAGGTCTAAAGCAAACGTATTGGGACTGTTTAATATGGTTTGGGTTCTTTATTTAGTTATCTTCATATATTGACCTTTACATTGATGCTGTGGTTTCATCACATAAGATAATATTTGTAAAATAAGTCTTTCCAGCCCTTATGAATCAGCCCCAGAGAATGCAGTACGATCTGATAGCATCTCATCTCAGATAAGGGAACATTTCACAATATAAAAATAAACTAAGTCAACTGACTTTCTTGTGACGTGTCAAAAGTTACCAAAGAGAAAGTAGTTACAGAGGACCGGAAACTCTTTTTTGGTCCGTTGTTCCTTAACAAACACTAAAAAAGGACTGGAAAAACGCAAATTGGGGTCTGGGTTACCTTGATCTTCATGAGTCCGATATAGTGATTATTAAATGTACATCACAGGATGCTGGTAACCTCAACAAAAAACTGTGTTTACATGGATCAGTTAAATAAAAAATACTCAACTGATTACCAATATTTTAATGTAGCCAAAATACACGAAATTTAACTGCACTTAGTTTAGAGCATTTCTGGGAAGCTCCCGTCCTACCTGAGCAGAATGCTCTCCCCGGCTGTTCCCACCTCCTATAACCTCCGATCCAGTACCAGCACGATATTTAGTCTACCTTAATACAAAAAGAAAGCAGTCCTATCCTCCTTTTCCTACAGAGCACCGCAATTATGGAATGACCTTCCGCACACTTTCAAATCTTCCCCAAGCCTAAAATCCTTTAAGAGATCCCTCTCTACATACCTCAAAACAGAATGCAGCTGTCATGGGTGATTTTATATTTCCTACCTGTTCTATGTAAAATTTTGTATATATTGTGTATTAATATTGTTTTTGTATTTTATTGTACCCTATTGTATCAACGCAATGTTTTGTGGACCCAGGACATACTTGAAAACAAGAGAAATCTCAATGTATCTTTAATGGTAAAATATTTTATAAATAATAATTTTAGAGGTGTTTTTTGCAGTTTGGTTGTTGAACAGTAGGTGGCGTCTGACGTCATAGGAGCAGATTTTTAGTAATCAGTGATCTATTAAGATAATTTATGTTGTAATAGTTTATACAGCAAGCACTGAATTGAGCAGGACGCCATTCCTGATAGCTGAATGCTAAACTGCTGTATTTTCTGAAATACTTTTCTGACCACACAACTTCTGAAACATTCAGAAAAAAGTGGCTAATAGCTGGGGCTAGCTGACAGAAAAGACAAAGACAGCTATGTGGTTTGGTACAGATATCGGTGACTTAAAGGAACACTCCAAACACCATAACCACTACAATTCCATTGTAAGTAGTACAGGGCTTAGCTCCGGAGAGGTAACAGTCTCAGTGGTGGAGACAGGGAGTTGCACCCGGCAGATCTCAGGTTAGAAGTCAAACCATTCAAAAAATGGCTGAGTGGAAGTGGTTATGGTGCATGAAGCGTTGCTTAATTGCATATGGGCCAGAAGACTGAGCCATTAAATTAAGCTGTGATTACTCATCTGATGTCCTGCAGGCTATAACATGGAATGACCTGCAGTCATGCCAAGTCAGAATAACTCTACATGGCAGTCTGCTGAGAAGGATAGTACGACGGCCATCAAGATATTAAGACACTATTGCTTGATATATATATTCTAGCTTTTCATGCAGACATATCAGTATTTAAGAAAAGACCAGTCTGGCAGGCAGAATTACTACCCTAGAGGAAGATGTGGAATATCTTCATATTCTGAACTGGCCAACAAGTGTCTAGAGAAGACATATCCCACATTAAATGCTGGAGTTCCAGGCCTGAAATATCACAATAGACTTTGCAGCTTATGAATTTGGGAGATACTCGAAAACAGTGCTTAATATTTAAAGTCCTATGCTAATAGCCAGGCCAAAACAGTTACTTGCCACTGCAAGCCTGGAGGGTCCATGGCAAACTCGTCAGGGATGGATTTCTTATTTCCAGAGCTACATTTTCACTTGCCAAGTGTATATTTAGAACTCTGCTTGAGGACATCCCAGCAGAGTGTTCTCTACTATCAGGCCTCCAAAACAGACTAAACTTATCCAGTTGGATACTAAATCCCCAACAGCCCCAAAAAAGGGCCCCCAGACATATCTTTTTGAAGTTTCTATTCATCATGGACAACAACGCTATATGGGTAGACGAGACGTGAGGAGCCAGTCTACTATTTGCTTTATTGGAACCCAATTGTCCCTCTATCAGAATTTAACCAAGGGAATAGTACAATGACATCTCTCCCTTAACAGTGCTTTTGGGAGAATGAAATATCATCGAGAAATGATCCTGAAAGGAGGTAAATGCATAGCATTTCCTGCACGTAGGCTGCGTCTTTCTGTTCTGGGATTGTCAAAAATGCTCTCACACTTTTCTATGCAATACAGGATTAACTAGAAGGCAGCCGCCTGAGGCCCTCGAACCATGAATTTGCTTGGCCCCCTATGGGAAGAATGAAGCAACCCCCATTGTTGCTTGGGCATCCACTACTATGTCACTAAACAGACCAGCTTGATCCCAGCCCCAGAGAGCTGTGTCCGTTCAGCACATTTTACATGCTTGCTCCACTCTGCTGGAGCCACGTTTGATTAAAGGGACACTCCAGTCACCAAAACAACTTGATCTAAATTTAGTTGTTATAGTGCCAGGAGGCCCCCTGGGGCACTCTTATCTCAAGGGGTTAAACTGTTTTTAAATGGCTTAACCGCAAAGTTGCCTCCAGCGGTAATCTCCTCTTTCCCCAAGGCGGCATTCGGCTTCTGAAATGTCACTCTGATTGGGTCAGCTGATGCTCTCAGCCAATCAGTAACTCCCCTTTGACAAAGCAGCTTCGAAAGAAACGTACTTTGCCAGTGGAACTCCTGAAAGTGAAATTTTAGAAACCGGATGCTGCATGGGATGGAGTGGAGATCGCAACTGGAGGCAACTTTGGGGTTAAACTGTTCGAGAACGATTTAACCCCTTGAGGTAAGTGTGCCTCAGGGGGCCTCATGGCACTATAACAGCTTAATTTACATGAATTAGTTTTGGTGCCTGGAGTGTCCCTTTAAGCTTACTATGGTTTCACACCCACTAGAATGGCAGCATAAACTGTGTGATATATTTTACCAGACTGAGCATGTCTGATCATTTAATGGCAGATTGTCTGTGTTTTATTTTGTGGAGCGAATCAATAAAATACTATGGTAAAAAAAAAAAGTATTACAACAAGCGAAGTTCAACATAGCTCCATGGTAAACAGTGCGTTATATTGTAGTTTAACATGAGAATTTCCACTTTGTGCATCTTACTGGGATGGGAAATGGGATTGACATTGTGGAGTATATTAGTTCAAAAAGCAACTCATGCTGCTGTGCCTTTGCTGGTAACACTGAAGCCATTACATTATTTCAAATCACAACTCATTGGTTGAATAAAAAAAAAATCATATATGTGACAGCAATAGCATTAAATAAAATAAACCATGTAAACAATGCAGTTAGTTAGGATATTTATGCAATTAGCTCTAGAATTCAACGTGGAATGCGTGTGGCCTGACAGTTAAAAAGTTCACAGTTCAGGCTAAACTCAAGGCCTAGGGAGGGAGGGGAGATACCATAATCACAAACTGCTTCCAAGAGGTAAGAAATGCGTCTGTGCTTGTACCTAAACGTCTTCTGAAGAGGATTCTCCCGCTGTGCAGACATTTTATAAAGAATCACTATAGTGTCAGGAAAACAAAGCGGTTTTCCTGACACTATAGTGCCCTGAGGGTGACCTCACCCTCGGGGTCCCCTTCCCATGGCGCTGAAGGGGTTAAAACCCCTTCAGCAGCTTACCTTATTCCAGCACCGGGCTCCCTCGGCACGGGTGACCTCTCCTCCCACTCCGACGTCAGCTCCCCTGGCCGACGTCACAGGAGCCGAATGCTCAATGCATTCCTATGGACGCTCTGCAGGATGGAGGCATAATATACCTCCAGTGTCGCAGATGCGCCTCTAGTGGCTGTCAGGAAGACAGCCACTGAAACTGCTATGTTTGCATCTGAAGAGTTAAAACCTGAGGGAACTGGCACCCAGACCACTTCATTGAGCTGAAGTGGTCTGGGTGACTATAGTGTCCCTTTAATGTTTCATGTCTACAAGCCATCGTGGCATACAAAACCCAACAGTAAGGTAATATGCTCAACTAGAACATCTACAGCAGAGGGATGTCCTGAGCTTCCTGTTCACACCACTACGAGGCCCTCTGCTCACACAGGATCCAGATCCAGGGTCCATGTACCCACGAGGCACATCCAAGGCACAACATGCAAATGAGGAGAGGAAGAGTAACATTGTTTCAGTTACTCCCCTTCCTCTATTTATGCTCAATGGCAGAAAGGGCAACATTTATATCAATGTTTGACAGGGAACCACGATCACAGTTTTACAAACCCACTAATTATAGAGAATAAGTAAACAGAACATTAAAAGTCATGAGAAGTTACAGTTCCTCCTTTAATTCATCACTTCTCAATGTGAAGGTCAATTTCCACTGGATCTCTAATTTCTAGATGGCTGTGGTCAGGTTAGTAGTTAGCACTGAAAATATTGCCACAATATTGATACAATTATAGATGTTTGGAACATCTATAATTCTATCAATGTGCAACAGGAGATATGTGTTAAAGGACCACTCTAGGCACCCAGACCACTTCAGCTTAATGAAGTGGTCTGGGTGTCAGGTCCTTCTAGGGTTAACCCATTTTTTTTATAAACATAGCAGTTTCAGAGAAACTGCTATGTTTATCAATGGGTTAAGCCTTCCTCCAAATCCTCTAGTGGCTGTCTCATTGACAGCCGCTAGAGGCGCTTGCGTGCGTCTCACTGTGAAAATCACAGTGAGAGCACGCAAGCGTCCATAGGAAAGCATTATGAATGCTTTCCTATGCGACCGGCTGAATGCGCGCGCAGCTCTTGCCGCGCGTGCGCATTCAGCCGACGGGGCGGCTCGGAGGAGGAGAGGAAGCAGAGAGCTACCCGCCCAGTGCTGGAAAAAGGTAAGTTTTTCCCCCTTCCAGAGCCGGGCGGGAGGGGGACCCTGAGGGTGGGGGCACCCTCAGGGCACTATAGTGCCAGGAAAATGAGTATGTTTTCCTGGCACTATAGTGGTCTTTTAAGTTTGCAGAATAATGGATCTGTCTGCAGATGAGGATGTAGTCATAGGCATTTAAAGAATTTCCCACTGAAATAAGACATCTACTTTCCGCATAGCATTCTGATAAAGATGAAGAGGATGGTCCCGTAAATGACATTATCTTGGACCGATACTAAAAGTCTTTAACAGTTGTGGAAACGTTTATTGAATGTCTTTAAACATCCTGAGTTTAACATTTTTAAACTGAGCTGTTCCTTCTCTGTAAGCTGTCACATTGTACTGCGACAATAGATCACAGGTTTATAAAGTCAGACAGTTTGACATGGTCTGTTTAGGAGAGATAATTGCCTTATATGATGGTGATACAGAGCTACACGTGGAACCTACTGGCCATTGTCAAATTATCCAGTTATATTGTGAATTAAAGGGATACTATGCACCAAAGATAACTTAGCTTAAGGAGGCAGTTTCGTGTATAGATCAGGCTTCCCCAAACTCTGGCCCTCCAGATGTTGCTGAACTACAACTCCCATGATTTTCAGCCTATTTATTTTATTCATAGAATCATGGGAGTTGTAGTTCAGCAACATCTGGGATAGTTCATGCCCCTGCAGGATCTCTTTTCTCTGCCATTTAAGAGTCAGTTCACTTTTGTTTGTGTCTACGCAGCCTTAGCCCCATGGATGTGACTCACACAGCCAACATGAATTTTTTTTTTTCATTCCCAATCAGATCTTACAGCACTGTGTGTTTTTGTTAGAAGCTTTTATCACATGCTTTATTAATTCAACTTTAACAACACACAGGAGGATACCTGCTGTAGCAGGCTTTTAACAGAGTAGGGGATAAGAAATTCTAAATTAACCCCTTAAGGACCAAACTTCTGGAATAAAAGGGAATCATGACATGTCACACATGTCATGTGTCCTTAAGGGTTTAAAAACACTGTGCAAAAAAGGAAGCTAAACAATTTAGATTTTTTATTTTCAGGTGAGTAAGGAGGATGTGTACGTCAGAGACAGGAAGGTGTGGCTAGGGCTAATTTAACTCCTAAATTACAGAAATTGAGCAGTGTGAGTACAAGCACATTATCAGCACACCAAAATCACTTTAATAAGTTGAAGTTGTTTTGGTGATTACAGTGTCCCTTTAAATGATTGTTCAAGTCCTAGTGACCTTCAATTTGTTTATCTACAACTGTTCATCAAGGGTTTGAGTCAAAAGCTCTTTATGTGATTACTAACAATGTCTTTGCATTAGATTTACATGTGCCAGTGACAAAGTTGTGATATTTGAGCCTAATTTGGTATCTGCAATATCTTATTTG